TCGATAACGACCTCGATACTAGTTCACTCGCTATTAAAAATATTTATCATTCGTTACCTATAACTCTACTATGAATAATATATCTATCATTTTCGTTGTATTCTTTATATAACTTATATAAAGTTATATTTAGTTTTGTACTTTTTTTATTATTGAAATTTACAAATGTGTTAAATGATAAAAACAACAAATAAATATGAAACAAGTAAGATGACATCTACCACATGAAGAGAAACTACCCATTGGTAGCACTCCAAATATATTTCTATATTAGAAGATCCCGAGGCTATCTTCTTTTCAGACGCCTCAGAGGGTTATCAGGAATAGAAGAGGAAGCAAGGTTGGAAACAAGAGGGTTCGAATGGTTCAGAAGTTTATTATGGAAGGACAGGTATCTGGATTGAGCTAAATCGGAAACATATGGTACATTAAGGTCGTTATGGATGATTTTATTTGTGACAAAGTAGGGAGCATTGATGATTTTATGTAAGGTTTTGGATTGTGAGGATTGGATACGAGAGAAATTTGACGTTTTAGTGGAGCCCCAAAGCTCGATCCCGTAAGTCCAAATAGACCTTATTATAGTAATATATATGAGTCTTTTGTAAATAGTTGGAAAAATTTATATTAAAAATACTTTATACGAGTTATATTGTTATATAGAGGCTATCTCAGATCCTAATGACCAAACTCTGAGGGCTAATTCTACAACAAAATTTACAACAAAAAAGTTCATTTGAGTTCATTTCCATGGGCCGATCCCCAACGGGAAAAGAGGAAAGACAAATCTTGTATTTTTCTTAAGGTGGTCACGTTTTTTATTGAAATTTTTATTTATCGCGTTTTTAAGTACGTCATCGTAAAGTTGACAAAATTTTCATTGAGAAAACACTGATTAAATTTACTAAGGTCATTGATAAATGTAACTTTTTGGAGGTCTAATAACGCAAAGATAAGTTTCTCGACAAAGGTTTCTCGCATATCAAATTATTAAACCATTTATTTTTAAGAGTAAAGAATGTTAATGCAGGAGTTTCGACCTGAGAAATAGAAATGGAGGAAGGAGAGGAAATTCAATCTTCAGATAGTACAATACATTGATAATAAAAATACAGAGGGGGCCAGAATATCGTTTCCATACTCCATATTTCGAAGAACAAAAATTTTAAAAATAAAATTATAACGTATAACAATTGAATTTACAAAAATGAATAAATTATGTAAACTAAAATAAATTAAGGAAATAGGAAAATTGTATTACGGTCGATGGCTAACCTGAGGCTTACAAGTAGGAACATAAGTATTTTACATTTTACCATCTATACCACTCTATTATTAAAACTTTAAATTATATTTAAAGATAAGTAATTAATAAGTTGCAACATATATTACCATTTTAAGATTCCTTCATAAAATCCCATCACCCTTCAATTTGTATCTGAAGAATTTATCACATTGTTCCCGGCAAATTTGAAGCTTTTGAGAATTGAGAATTTAAAAGAAGCCTCAGATCTTTAAATATATTTTTTTTTAACTTTTATTATGATATTTACAACTGTATTAGTATGAATACATCAAGTAAATGTGTACGCAGGAATATTATCACATGAAACACGCTTGTTGAGAAACTACACATTGGTAGCACTCTAATCTTTAAATATAAATAAAAATATGTAATATATCCAATCGCTTTGTTAACAGATTTTCAAATTTACCTAATATATATTAAAAAAATATATATATAATCGTATGTACACATTTATAAGTTAGATGTGTATAAGCTCTAAATATCAATAGCAACTATGTTACTATTAGGATCAAGAAACCTTTGCATATGAAAACAAACTATCTCTATATATATCGGATGAAGTTAATAATAAAGTTAGTTGTTCTCGAACCTGCATACTGTTACTCTGCCCCAAAACCCCCCTTTTTTAGTTCATTCATTCAGTCTAATCATAAGTTTTAAACATATATATATATATATATATATATATATATATATATATATATATTGAGTTAGAGAGAAGAAAGATCTCTTCGCACTTGTTATTCGCGGGTCTATCTCTGTTAGTTGATCATTTATTGAGTTTATTGTGGAGCCGAGGTATTTGAATCTGTCTACTTTCGGGAATGACTTAGATTCCACGCAGATCATGTTATTAGGGTGGATGTATCGGCTATCATGTATTTAGTTTTATATACACTATATATATATATAACTAACAACTCCTGTCAAAATAACGAGGTTTATAAGCTAAACGGACCAGTATTTTTGAAGGCTGCATTTTTTCTTAATTTTGTGATTTAATTATCTTACTGGAAGCTAATGGTTATTTATCTACATTTAGTAATTGATTTTATAAGATAGCCCCACTTCTCATAATTTTCCGAGATAAATTAGATGTAGTTTACGATAAGAAGAAGCCATTTACGAATTTTTAGCAATGAACTCGAGTTGGGTCTCGGAATATTTAATGAGGTATTGAAGAGCTCGATTTGGCTACCACCAGCACGACGAAAACATGCTTCATTTTCCTATATTGAATTCAATGCGATTTGTACTCCATACAATTTATCGTACCTAATAAAATGGCAAAATACGTTTAGTGGTGGGAGTAGCGCGAATATATATATATATATATATATATATATATATATATATATATAATGATTAGATGTTAAATCTTTTATATTGCAATCTAGTCAAACATATCATTGCTGTTATTAGTTAAATAAACTATATTCTATTTTATTCTTCTGTTAAGCTATGTCATACTCAATTACTAATTACTAATATTACTAATATTAATTTATAAATTAATATTTATTACTTATATTGGGGGTAACGTGGGCATTCAAGGAAAATGTCATTTGGTCCAAAATTGTAAAATATTGACGGTTCATCTTTTTAATTAGTAAGTTACCTTCATTTCCATCTGCTAAACATTACTAACTCATTTAATGCATTATTTGGCACTAATTTATAACGAAAATTACATTAGTGTCTCTTAGGACTACAGTCAGTGAGTCACCGATTTCAACCATTTTTTTATTTATTTTTTTTATTTTGGTGATTCTACATCGACAAATATTAGACACATGTCCCGCCATCCCTAGGAACCGAGGAAACAAAAATTAATTTGTACCAAATTTATGTTATTTATTGTTGTCTTTGATTTTTAGGATATATTTGCAGGGATAGAGGGTAAGTAGAGCTAAATATTTAAAGGGGTGATAGTAGACATGAAGGACTACAACAAAGTTCATATAAACAATGGCCTAATTTTCTACTGAAAATTTAAATTGAACTTTAACTTTTCTGTTGTGTTATTAGTTTGTTTTGTAAGTCACTTCTTTAATTTAAGAGGAAGTGATAACTAAAAAAATGCTTAATTTAAATAATTACCAATCGCTTCAGAGTAAATTAAACAAAATTGACTTGAAATGGAAATGGAACTTGTCATTTAGAGAGGACTTTTGAGCGGCACAACTAACCTAGGTTTAGGTGTTTATTAAAAAATAATAAATTATTTGTAATTTTTTTTACCTTCCTCCAATTACAGATATCCTATTTTTAGTAAAACTTTCTCGTTTAGTAAGCTTTAAGTCTATATAAATTAAGTTGAGGTTTATTTAAGGAAAAACTTAAGATTCATTACAAATTGTGTATCAAAATGAAGTGATTTTAAGTCCCGTTCCCTAAAAGTACCCGTGTTTTCAGCACAAATTACTAACATAAAATTGTTGCAAATCTTTGATTGTTTTTCCTTTTTATGATTGTTATTACCTGTAGTGTATAATAATAAATATACATGCATAAAAACACTTTATATTTCTTTTAAAATAATAATTTTTCCATTATTTATCATCTAAACGGATAATGGAAATATCTTTTTTTACTAAGATCTCTATTATAGGAATTAATTCGTATTTATATGTGACGAAATAATTTGTTTCAGCTCTAAAATATACGTTCAAAATAAAAAAAACCTGCTAGTTGCTTTCATTATTTTCATATGAATGTATATATTAGGATCAGAAACATTTCTTGATATTTAAGGTTTTTTAAGGGGAGTAAAACGAATAATAACTTTGTTTCTTCTAGAACAAGGATTTATACTAGATACCAGGTCGATTTTGAATAAATATTATATTTGGCAGATAGCTACGATAGGGGACACAATTTGGACCAACCGATGTAGCAATGTGAAACCATTTTACAATTTAAATACTTCGTATCATGAAACAATTTTGACCCTTCGAAATTTTGTCAACAACAACAAAGATTGTGATAACTTCAGAACGATTTCTCCGATCCACACAGAAATTATTAGGTATTTAGGGTTATATGTGCTACATGAAATGGTACGAAACCGATATCAATAAAAATTATTGAGTATTATTAAGTTGTTATTAATTTCTAAATTTAAAATAAATAAAATTTATTGATATGGGTTGGAAGAGCAGTAATTTAGGTTTCCAACGGTTTCAAGTATTTATTGGCTTTTATCAATTTATTTTTTATCAATTTATTGGCTTATAAACAGCGTAGCCATGGAGTCTGGCCCACTCAATGTTGTTTGTAAATAACAGGTATAATATAAAACATTATATAATACATGAAAGAAAAAAGATAAATACATTAATATAAAACTAATTTTTCACTGTAGATTCACTAACAAAGTAAACTTAATTAAAACAGAAATTTTTTTTTTTATAAGAAACAGTGATACATAAACTTAAATATACATCTTTAGGTCGATGTATTCGTTGCTATTTTGACGGGTTAGAAAATATGCGCGATATTTATATGATATCCTAACACACGAATAATCATCAGTTTTAATGTTACGGGATATTATGTAAACTACGGGAATCAAAAATACGAACAATAAAGTAAAACACATTGTTCAAGTATTCAAGACTTTTTCTAAAACTCTATCCAACGATAAGTCATCCGTGCCCGCATTGGTATATTTATCGAGATATCTCTTTCTATGAATCTCAACAAACGAACATTCAAGGATCAAATGCTTTATGCCATTAGTGATAAGGTGACCGCACCACTTAGAAACTCCTTCAGCCCTCATAACATGAGCGATATTCCCAAGATACAACGCCAGGCGGTCATTACTAGAAACTCTCAGGCGACTCACTGTTGTCAGCTTTCGTAGAAGGGCAATAAATTTGAAGTAGTTTTGCGGTTCTGGGTAATTATAGCAACGGATTCGCCTATAGATGTGATTATAGTTGGAATTAAAGGCGCGTTCAATGTCTTTGGAATATAAGTTATTAGACACAACTGTCAAAATAGTTTTTTTTTCTTTATTAATATCGAATTCCACTTGAGCTAATTCGATCGGTTCGAAATATCTTAAGCCCCAAACTTCGGATGCATAAAGAAGAGTAGAGGAGACCATTGAATCAAACAGAGCCATTTTGGTTTCCCATGCATCGCTCTTTCCTCTTATTAAAATCTCACGTACTTTTGCTCCTGCAACATTTGACCTCTGAATAAAGTGTTCAGCAGTCTTAGAAAATTTTGCTGATGTTGAAAATGAAACTCCTAGGTAGTTATAACATTTTGCATTTTGTAAATGGCAGGGGTTTATTTTGCCAAAACAGTGACTTTAATTTTTTCATTCTTGGTGACTTATGACATACCACTTTTGATTTTTCGGGGTTTAAGACCAGTTAATTTTGTGTGCAATACCGTTCTATGATTCGAAGTTTCTTTTGGGTGCTGCCAACTGTTTTAAGTACTAACGCTCAATTTGGAGAAAAAAAAATCCTTTAAGAAAATTAAGTATTAAATTTTGCAATTTTTGATTTCTATAAATATTCGAATTAAGAGTATTCGTACATAAGTACATTAAAAGCGAGTCTAACTCTGATCGAATATGCGAACACAGTATACTAATTCATAAAGATATTTGATCAGTGGTTAAAAAAAATAACGCAAACAAAATATGCAATTGCATGAAAATGCGGGCCTTGATAATAACCTTAAAAGCAAAGGCAAAAATAAAGAAGATAAATTGTGCTGGGAATTATATAAAATATGTTTTTTCTCTGCTCCTAGAAGCCTTTTGGATGAACGGCGCGAAACAAGTTCTCAATGGATTTCATATCCCAAGATCCCCCCCCCCTCAGTTGGTGAGTTGGTCACTCCTTTTGGATGCACTGCTGTCCCTAGTGCACTGCACTGCCTTATTCTGATGGTTATTATCCCAACTATTACAACTTACAAATTAAAGGAAAAGTTGAGCAATGTTTGCTTTTTTCTACAACAAAGAGTTACAACATTATTTACTAGTTACAACATAATAGTTGATTAACATTATTTACTTTTTTGATTGTGTTGGAAAACTTCTTGTTAAAGTGGTTTAATTTATATAAAATGATGGCTTACATTTTGAATATCTCTTGCAATTAAAAAAATATGGTGTGGAGCGCGCATCACACAACTTTCACTTGCCACCCTCTTCTTAGAAGAAATAGGTATTATCAGACAAAGGGGAAGTGAAAGTAAAAATTATAGACGCTATATTTATTTATATTTCATTATGGGTATGTTTATTTGTATTAGTACCTTTATATATACATATTTTGATAATTATATCGCTGTAATCTAACAATAAAATAGAAAACAATACCAAGGATAGCATTTATGAAAAGCGCCTATGTTTATTTACATAATATTGTCCGAGTCCGTAATATATTAAGCTCATGTAATATATTAGCTATGGAAGCTGGGTATAATCTTTCGGGTGAGCTAGGACGAGCTCATATTCCTTTGGTTCCTCAATTACAACTATTCCGTTACGATCTCTTATTTCTCCTTTAGTTAATCATCAAATTCTTTCATATTTTATATTTATCGGTTTTTTATATCAGAGATGAATGTTAAATGGTTAATTTTATCAAATAAAAAAAATTTTTAAAAGTACTTTAGGGGAAGATAATATTGAAAATTAGCCATTTAAGCCCTATTAGAGAACATCAATCAGAATAAAACCTACATTTTATTTAAAACTGCTTAATTTTACATGGATATAATGAATTTAATCAAAATCGTTAGAGCCATTCTCCAAAATATCGATTAGCCGATTTTGACGAAAAAGTTTCTGTAACGTTCCAAGCATATAAAAACCTTAAATATCCAATTTCTCTTTCGTACGACTTTTCTTTTTCGAGCTAGACTGCTAACACACACACAGACTATTTTGCGGGACTTGGTTATTTGAACTACGGTTACCTCAAAACGTATAATTCCGTTGAAAATTGAGATTCAAAAATTTTCACTATCGCAATACTTTCCTTTACTATATATTTCATACATAGGTAAGTAAAAGTTAAAATACCACTGTATTAAAATGTGTTGCCTCTAAATGAAGTTATTTACATTGATTACTCGGTATCTCCACTTGATCTACATCTAACAAAAACAATACCTTTACAACTAGAAAGGTCCAAAAAATTATATTTAAATACGATCTATGGTTGGTTGATTGTAGTAATAAAACCAATTAGTTATAAGTTAGCAATATTGTAAAGGTTTGGAGGAAAGCTTTCCCGAAATGAAAGAGAAAGTAAAAAGGAGGAAAAAATGTTTGAAAAAAAAAAAATGAAAGGTGAACCTGAGGAAAGGTAGGTTCAGTTCTTCTCCTTATCTGCCCTATTCATTTCAGGTTGCTCTCTTGTTACAGAGTTCGAGAGGACCCACTACCCAGATGTGTTCGCCAGGGAGCGGCTCGCTGAGAAGATTGGTCTACCAGAAGCTCGGATACAGGTTAGCTAAAACCCTCCCTACTTAGCTATATCATTATACATTGTTAATTGATTCCTTCTTTAACTATCTCATTTGCTATGATCAAGTTCAACATCGATTAAAATTACAGATTATTTATGAATAATACTAATAATAAACATTAAATATTCAATACCTGATTCCCAATAAGGAAGTCATGTGAGTGTGTATCTCATCATTTATGTATTATCTATTACAGATTGCTGATGTTGATGAGCATTTTTTAACAAAATTAGAGTTTACTATAATATTTTTGTTATTCTTTGTTATTATTATATCAATGATATCATTACAGTTTATTATTACATTACTTGGGATAAAAGATAATTTATTTCAATTCCAAAATAAACCTCAAACTTGTAACAACATGTTTAATGTTGAGGGTGAAGCCAGAACAGATTACTAATATATCATAATGAGAAGAAGAGATTAGAATCCCCCAAGTCGATCCACGGTGGAGCAAGCTAACGCTAATGTTGCACATTGGGGAAAGAAACAAAAGTTAAAATTTGCAAGTTGGACTGCATTAGTGACAAACTTGCATCTCTTTCCCGTCATGCCCAGCAGTTTTAAACTTAATTGGCGCATTAATAGTGCCCTGATGTGAGATTATAGGAGAATATTTAGCGTTGCATTGACGGTATTTTTCGTTTAAACCTTAGAGGTATGTGCTGGGCAGAATTCAATGCTTCTAGTAAATCCCAAGATAGCTGAAACATTGGTTTTATAAATAAACATAGTTGTTACGACGTTTCAAACAATTACATGCAATTTTGGTCCATTTCGTAAATCACCAGAAACATCCATAAAACTGTATACATCCTATTATTTGCACTAGGAAGGTGAGGTATTTCTTTTGAGTAATCGGGAGAGATGGAGCATTGTTTTGGAGGGTTCGTGGATCCAAGGTGGGTTTTGGTTTTCTGTACTGTATATAGCTAAGTTCTTAAGGAATTGAGCTGCTGAACAAATTCTTTCTAACAGTGGGAGTGTGGAATTTGCTTTTTAAAATGTGGTTATGGGTAGGATGTTTATTTTGTGGATGTGGCCATGAAATATAGTCAACAGCCAGTTTTTCTATCTAAATAAACGAGGGAGTGTTGCGGCCTCTGAGAAGAGAATAAGGATGGAATTTGTTCGAAACGCGCTAGTTGCGATCCTAATGCCTGTAGGGTGGACTGCATCGAGTTAATGTATATAAAGCACCCATAGTCTAATTTAGAGCATACTAACGCTCCATAAAGTTTTATAAGCGTGAGACTGAGCCCCAGGAAGTACACCTCAGATATCGTAACATAGTTATTGTTTTTGTAGTGGTTATTTTTATTACAGAAATGTGCAGTTCCCAAGTTAGTTCTCAGTCAAAAATTATACCTAAAAATTTATGCTGGTTCGAGTACGGGATTAAGGAATCCCCTAGATAGATTTCGGGTGATTTAGGGGTGTTTCCTTTTCGACTGAAATTTAGGCACTTAGTTTTTGCGGAAGAAAATTGGATACCTAATAGAAAAGGGTCAGTTGTTAATTCTATTAACAGCGTTCTGTAGTTTGTTGTATAGTGTTAATGTTGCCAGATCGGCAGAAAATGGCTGGATCATCTATGAATAGTAGTGGCTTGACAGCTATGGCTTAGTTCTGCTCTAAGTCATTTATCGCCAGGCAGAACAGAGTTGGGCTGGGGGGGGGGGGGAGTTCGTGGTTCTCGGATAATTCCCATCCTATTTGAATAAATAAGCTAGGCTCTATTTTTTTTTTTTTTTTAATAACAACCTCTAATTATACTACCGATACCCCACTTGTAGGAAAACTTCCTTTTAATATAAACTTCAAGTTCATATAAATTAATTTGAGATTAATTACGAATTATGTAGAAATTTATCTCAAGCTGCGTTAAAAAATGTAATGTATAAATAAAAGATGTAAAGTGATATCCTGTCACCTAAAAGAACCTGTATTTTCAGCAAAAATGATTAAAATAAATTATTACAAAGCTTTAATTTCTTTTCTTTTTCCATGAATGGCAAGTATAATAATACATATAAATGCATAACCACACTTTTTATCTATAAAAAAAAGTTTAAAATAAGGATTTCTCAAATATTTATCAATTAAAGTGATTATGAAACTGTGTTTTTTTTTAAATATATATCTATTATAGGTACTGATCTCTATTGATAAGTGACCAACCAATGTTATAAACCAATCCTAATATTTATGTTTTCATGAAAATTATTAAAGTAATTGCTGATTTTTTTAAAACATAACTTAGCTTAGTTTAGCGGCTCTCTCTCACAAGTCCTCTTTGAATGGTTTTACCAATGACAAGCCCCTCGTTCATTTGAAGTAAATTTAGTCTAATTTATTGAAGAGCAATTGGTAATTACATAAATTAAGTGTTTTTTTAGTTATTGCTACTTATTTAAAAAAAAAAAAGGTGAAACTAAAATTTAGAAGTACTTTGTTGTATAAGTACTTTTTTGTAGTTTTTGAGTTCGTCTATTACTTCTTTAAATATTTCACCCCATTTACGGGACATCCTGTTTTATATTACAGGTAGTATAGAAGATGTATAATAGCCCTGTAAGAGGTACTTATTATCTTTGGGTTCAATTAATGCAATTTCGTAGTCATCAGCTGTGACTGAAGCTCCAATAATTGGAGAAAGGTTTAGCGGTTTTTTATCAACTGCTGTTTGGGAAACTGGGGATGGTCCAATTATCGAATAATAACCTAATTATATTGTTTGGGTCTGTTTATTATTTTTTAAACTCACTCTGATTGTTTTGAAAAAAGAAAAAACAATGTTAGTGAAATATTTTGCACTTTATGAGATTTCAACTACCGAGTCAAATTTAACAATGATCTATAATTTAAAAGTTCACATACATTTGATTGAAACATTCAAATAAGTCTTAAATTTGGTGTCTTAAAATTGGTAAGCGTTTGTTAAAGCTTAATAAGCTGGCTAATACCGGTATTACCATTTGAAAATGTTTGCATCAATTGGTTGTAAAAAAAATGGCCTATAACTCTTCTAACTTTACTAAACCTTCTTTATCGAATGCTCTAGTGCAAAATTTAGATTGGGTTCATACTTTTCCTCAGACAAAAAATGAATATATTAAAACTGTTGTTGTGTGTTGAACTCTCTGTGTTAAATATTTCTATTGAAAAGAGGTAAACGGAGGAGAGTGACTTGGATTGGCTCGCTAACTATCTAATTCACTCAAATTTAACTCACTCTAAACCCTCCCATTTCTCATTGGATCATCAAACATCAAAGATCATCCAGCTATCCATCCAACTGTAGCAGGTTAAAAACCTGTTAGATTGGAGAGGAATCCCCACTCCATTCCTTTTTCTTTATTACCTCATCTGTTATAAAGCACGGTTTATGACTGGGGCCATTTAATTAGGAATTAATATCGCCCGCCTAAGGCGTCGGCTGAGTTTGAAGGATTTTTTTAATTTCATGGTAAAAGTGGATTCTCAACTCGTCCTAGCCGTAGGTGATTTAATTAATAATTAATGCCTATACCTCTACTAAAGGAATGAGATGCCCTGTTCTCCTCAGTTCTAACGCTTATTTATAGCGCCTATATCCAATGACTCTGCATTTAGAAACAATATTAGAAAACGCAAAAACAATCCTCTCATAGATAAAATCAAATATACTTTTACATATAACTCTGTCTATTGTTTATTGAAAACTTGTTGCAAAATTATTTAAGGAATCATTTAATTAAACTATTAACAAGTGATTTTGATGTATATCCACTAATGGAATAATATTTGTCATCACTTAAGACCTGCCTCTTAGTACTTCCTTGTATTTTGTTTAGGTTTCTCAGCTAAGTTTCTCAACTTTCGTGAAAGCCAATTTTTCTTTTTACTGTGCTGATTGCCAACCATAGTCTCTATTTATAAAAAATAAAAAAACAACGCACATTTAAGAGATTTATTAAGTTTTTCCCGTAAAGTTTTAACCGTAAGATGGGGTAACTTTGGAACGGTGGATAAAATTTACTTCGTGGTTGATACACTTTATTGGTTCAGTCTGCAAAAACGTGCTTTGTGTTGACATGTACTGCGATACTACCTTGCGCCAGTTTGAGATCCCTAGTTTACTAGAATCGTTGTGCAGTTGGCTTTTATTTATTTCCATTGCTTTTTTCGAAATTCTTGTTTTCATGAAACTTTTGCTTGTACCTCAAGAGTAGTGTGCCACAAGGTAGTAGCGCAGTCGATGCCTACACAAAACACCTTTTTGCAGACTGAACCAACACAGTTTATCCACCACGGAATCACCACAAACTAAATTTTAAATTTTAAACCGCTGTCCCAAAGTTATCCACCCAGTCCCAAAGTTCCCCATCTTACGGGAAATGAAATAAGTGAGTTTTTAGAAGCTCATTAAATTAATCATTTTTCTGAGAAAAGGCCACATTTGAATTTTCCTAGCTAAAAAAGTTGTAGAATACGACCAAGTTTTAGATTGATGTTAATAATATTGGATTAAAAGGGTTATATGTATCATACTAACCTTAATGGAGCCGAACATGGTCCTTTAGTTCTCTACAACTCTTTTAGTACTTATTCCGGAGTCCAAACTTAAAGTTAAAAAGTTCCATTTAAACAGTTTCTTGGAAACTTTTTAGGAAAAATGTTGTTAAAATAAAAGTTCTAAGCAATTTTTTTGTCAAAATAGAGTTCTAGGTGTATGGTAAAAGCTTGGTTTTAATATCATTCAAAGGTCAATTCTTCATTCCAATAACTTTAAATTCTATTTTATTTAAATCTTCGTTCTTTTCACCACACATGAGACCAGCGAGGTGGACTTCGTCGCTTAAGAAGAATAATAACATAAATAATTTTACATGCAACTATAATTTTATTTTGACAATATTTGAAACGTATATTGACGTCCACATGAACATAGACCACGTTTCGAAAAAAAAAATCAGGTGTCGATTTTCTGTAAAAGTATTACATACTAATATTAATATATCAGTAACTATGACAAAATTTTGGTAAAATCTTGTAAGGTAATCAGATACAAGATAATGGATAGAATACATACCCCCCTGATACCTATATTCTGTAAAATGTTGATGCTCTTATGATACGATTTGATACCAACTTTGTCAGTTTGATGATCTCATCAAATGACTTATAAGCAGGGATTGAAACTTCTAAACAACTTTTTTTGTTATAAAGTTCCAAGTTATTGGTAAAATTTTAACTTATCTTTTTTCAAGCTGTTAAAAAAAGGTATGTTAAATTTAAAATAAGCAGTAATTTGATTTAGATTAGAGTTATGATTTGTCTTGTGAAGGAATGTGTAAATGAATTACACATCATTCTAATTGGTCGTTTGTTTGAGTGGCTATGAATGAAAGTCATTCATTTTTCGATTGGATCTTTAGCGAAATGGATAAAACATTTAAATTAAAGTTCTGTGAAACCTTTACTGGGAAAGTTGCTCTGGAAGCAGATCTATTTCCAAAATAACGGTCTTTGTGCTTCTTCAATTCACTTTTCTACAATAACGCCCAACAATTGCACTAATAATTGTGAATCGACTTTTCTATTTCGGATTAATATATATATATATAGTAAAATTATTAAACTCACACAGGTATATAAATGTGTGTGTGTGTCCTTTTAATGAAAGGGGAAACTTCACACAGATTGTTTAACCATGGTGAAATATTATCATGTTATTGTCGACTGGAAAAAAATACACTTTGAGATTCATACACACACTACTTTAGTTGATGTTTTCAAATATGTTATTCTAAGAAATAGGTCAATGCTCTGACCTTTACTGTCAAAGTATTCCATGAAAGGAAAAAGATTTGGTTGATAATCGTTTTATTTTAGACTTGAGAGCACATTCCCAACTTGATAGTTACGCCTTAATCCTATTGGAGCTGCAATCTGCAATACGCTAATGTACTTCATCGCTCCAAGGTCTACTCCAGTTGAACGTCTAAAATAGGCATATGAATAAAACGAATTTGGTTCTTGTTTCGATTTCTCCTCAACATAATTATCAATCGATATTGTAATCAATAAACATCCTAGTAAAATGTTATTTTCTTGTTCTTATGTTATGTTTAAGTTCTTTTCTTATGTTATGTTTTTTGGTGTGGAGATATATGGCGGCTTCTGGTGTAGCAAATCACTTTATAGTGGAAATATTCACATGGTATAGTGAATAAACATGTTCACATAGACATTTTGAGGAGGAACTTGAAATAAATTGTGGAAAATTTGGGCTAAAAAAAAGAAATTTGTTTTATTAGGATAATGGCCTTAAACATTCTCCCATCTTAATTTAACGAATGGGTACTTAACTTTAACTGCCCATAAGCTATAAAAACACCACCACAGTCACCAGATTATAATGTGATACAACACCTTTGGGTAAAATTGGAGGTAGAAAAAAAGAAATTTCTAGCAAAAAATACTATAAAAATATCTATACAAACAATGGAACAGGCTGAGCCCGAATCACCAAAAAATTGGTCGAAAAATTCCATTACAAGCACATTAAAAGGAGTGGTAGAAAATAATGGCTTGCCTACAAGATGTTGGACCAAATTAATATTATTTATAAGTTAACAAGAAGTGGGGTGTATGATTTTGACTGTGAGGTAAAACTATCCAATTTTTTTTTTAAATAATTACAATTGAATATTCCAATTTTATCGAGTTTGTACACATTTAAAATGAGATTATAAATAAATTTGTTGACAAGTTTCTGGTTTTATTTATTTACTGTAACAATTGAAGTATTTTTTATCTTTTTTTTATCCGATACTGATATATATTGACCTTTTTTTTCCTCTTGTCGTCAAAGCCAACTGCACCAAGCACCTCAGCCAGGAAGAATAGTATTCTCGATAATAATTTATCAAGCAAGATTCCGAAGACTCAAGATTTTTCTGATCCCAAGCCGCCACCTGTTTTTGTTTTAAAAATTCAGTACTTCATGTCGTCTGGTCAATAAATTGCAAAACTAATCGGATAGCCAAATTTCCGCTGTTTCTCTAAAATCAATGACACTAAATTGATTAGCCATTTAACTTTCTAAAACTATGACTTCCATTGTTATCAATTGAAACAAGAAAAGACCTATCGACTGGTCCTGAGAGGTCTACATTCAACCACTCCCATTATGTCATCAATACAGGCCTGGAAAAAATCGGTGATAAAGTCAGGCACATAGCATCCGTACTACATCCTACGGAAAGATATCCGCTTCCATTATTCTCTATAGATTTGGAACCACCAAAATCAAATACTAAAATATTTCATGTTCAACGTTTAGTATACTCAACAGTACGATTTGAAGGACAAAGGTAGAAGCCCCTAATAGTAAAATGCACTAATTGTCAAAACTTAGGGCATACTAAGGCATATTGCCATCACGAGACCAAATGCTTTAAATGCACCGGTCTTCAGGCTTCAGGCACTTGCCTATAGACCCGGCGAGCTATAGAGGTGTGAGGTATATAAAAATCTCCACAAACAGAGATCAAGCAACTTAGTGATGAAAAGCCTTGGACCTGCTCAAAAAAACTTATCTGAGGCATCTGAAATTGAAAATCCGGAAACTTTCCCAGCTTTGCCGACTTCACCTTCCATCGCCGTCCAACACCAACCATCCATCTCTACACTTAAGGATTATCCTCGTCAGAATTCAAGAAATTCTCACTCT